TAACAATGTCATAGGGACTGTGGAATGGAGTAGGAATGGGACGTGTACGTTTATCCTTTAAGGACGAAATGGGGAAGAATTTTGCCTTTTTCGATCACTATGGCCCTCAGTATATTGTAAAGCGTAGTAGCGTGGATAGATATTTTTTTTTTCATTTTATTTAAAATTTAATTGAAATGATAAATTGTGCAGTGCCAAGATACAGAGAAAAAAGGATATAATTTGTTCACAAAAGACAAAAACTGAAGAAATAGTGGGCTACCGCAATAAGACGACCAAAATTGGCGAAATCACAATCTTTATATTTAAGGCTATGTGGACATCATTTTAAAGAAAGTGATTTTAAAAGTCTTAAACTCAGACGTAAATAGGCTATACGTATGTATGTACGTACATCGAGAAATCTTACCTATTGCATGGCCTCAATTTTGCCTTTTGGCTACAGAACGAAAAAAAGAGGAACTATTTAATTTTTCTATAGATAAAAGGCTTTTTTATCAAAAATTTATTACCTGGGCTATCCGATATTTATAGCCTATTCAGGCGTCTATACACTCTCGCCTAAGTGTTCTCGGCGTGACATGCGCTCTAGCACGGAACGCTTTAAATACACGAGTGCATCCTTTATGTTGGATATGTCACAAAAAATTGAAGATGTGAGTTGTTCATCTGTTTTTCTATTTTTATAAAATTACTGTGTTTGGTTCTTGTAATTTTATTCTAAAATTTAAAAAGGTTCTCATTACATGACGACACCATCGATGCGCGTTTCACGAAGTTCCGTCGTCGGTCGGTCTTTGTTTATTTTAATAGCCAAAATCATCGAGATATACCGTAGCAAGGCAAGTACGAGTAGACTAGAAAGCAGGGCGCGGAACCGTTTTAAAACAACAATTGAGTAATTTCGGCTATGTAGTTTTTAATTCATTGCCCGTTCATTAACCGGTTAATAAAAACGAACGGCTTAGCTTTTCGGTTTAGGATCAATGACTAAAATCGGTTTAAAAATTGAACGGGTTTCCGAGCCCTGCTAGCGAGTACCAGTACATTCTCGCATTACGCATGCGTTAGTGTGGCTCGACGCGAGTGTATAGCCGCAGGATAGGTCAATATCATAGAGTATATTCAATATGGCTACATATATAAAGTCAATATTCATGAAACCGGCTACCCGGCGTGTGACAGTCTGACAGAAGACAGTTGCTCGTTTATCATTATACAGTGTAGACTGGAGATATGTTGGCAAGTTTGGTTTTTTAAAATGACGACCAATTGAATTCTTTGTTATTAATGTTACAACAGTACAAGTTACGTTAAAATGTATCGCAGGTCAACAACAACGTCCAATAGTAAGTTTTTACGATTGACTGAGTTTTCTTTTCATACATTAAACTTTAAAACGAAATTGTATCACGTGTCGTAACTATGTATGTAACTGATATATTTTGTAGCTTTCTATGTTTTTAAAACGCTTATATACAACATTACGTTTCTTAATTCTTGCATTAGTCTTAGCCTATATTTTAATAATTTACAAACCGGCCGCTGCCTCAGGTCGCTCAATTAAGTAAATGTTATATTATAGACTTTCAAGTTCAAGATCTAGATTCATTTTATTTCTTTCATGAGCTATATTTAAATTTGTGAAACTATGTTGTATTTGTTTTCGGTTTGTGTTGTTTTTTTTTAAGCAAAAATGTTGTTATAACATTTTAATTGAGTAAATATTTATAAAGTATTTCATAATTGATTACCTACTAAAAAACTGAAAACAACCTATCACAATAACATGATATTTTAAATATATGCTATTCTGCTTAACAAATTATTTATTTTAAATAACTTAAATATGTTTAGAAAATGTTAAACAGTGTACTGTTTAACATTTGAGCTAAGAATTATAATGTAAATTCAATAACTACTGTAATTGACCACTACAAGGCTTGCATAATTTTATTTTTTTTTGCAAGGCAATTCCTACTAGTTGTTGAGATGATAATATGTGGCAGTAAACTGTAACTGTTTTAACTTAATAGATGAATATATCTTATACTTAATAAAGTTGCTATCCAAATTTATGAAAACAACATTTTTCATATATAAGACAAATGAATATATTGTCTATGTTTTTTTTATGTATGCCTAAATAATAAAAAAAAAACGTTTAATCTAAAAGAGTATAATTAAAGGCAGTAAGTTTGTTTGGGATTTTAGATGAATAATGAGTAAAAACTATTATTCTGTGAGTTTTTTCATCCATATAATAATATTATCTTTAAAATTTATTTACTATAGGGTCAAGGTTGCATATTCTTTCTCTTTATATGTACATGGTAAAAAAGTATATATTAGCCATATAGTATAAATCATTTCCATATTTCACCTTTGAGGTTGTTAGATTTGTAGACATTTAAGACTTTTAAACAATATTTAATAGTTGCAAGTATTAAGGTGTAGCTTAAAATTTAAATAAAATTTAATGAAATATGTGTTAAGACAAGTTTAATTTTTAATAACATGTACATCTCCACTAAGAATGCAAAATTAAAAATTAAAAAAAACCGCTCAAACACTTAAGTGAAGTTGTCAAAATCTCATTGATCCACAATGTCACTGAGTGTGCTTAGTGATATTATAATGTAACTAGTGACTCACCCTCGCTTCACTTGGGTTCGTCCCTGGCTTGATTCCCAATACAGACTTTCATCCCCATTTTTATTCCCTTAAGGGATGATTTCCGGGATAAAAAGTATCCTATGTCCTTGCCAGGGTCTCGAAACTATCTTCTTACTAAATTTAATCTAAATCGGTTCAGTAGATCCAGAGATTACCCCCTACAATGTCACAAACCTTATATCTTTATAATATACCTAAGTATAAACTAAGATTGTCCCATGTAAAAATGGAGACTATTGACACCATGATTTACTTATGACAAAATATTATTAATTAATTTACAAGTGATTAAAGGGGTGAAAATGGGGTAGAAAAATTAAGTAAAATTGCCAAGATATATAAGATATATGGAGACAGGTGGACGTGACGAAATTATAAGGCTAAGGTATATATATATATCATTAGCATTGCCCGCGGCTCCGCCCGCGTTCAGGTGATCAAAAACCAAATTCTTAGGTATTACATATTAGTATATGTACTCTTAAATTACAGTTTTTGTATTTTTTCTCAGAAATGAGATATTTTCCCGCGGTAAAAAGTATTCTATATGTTGACCCGGATAACCAGCTATCACCATACCAAATTTCATCAATATCCCTTCAGTAGTTTTTCTGTGATGCGGTAACAGACAGACAGACAAAAATTCTAAAAACTATAGATTCGGCCTCTGTATCGATAATAATGTTTGTTTCAATAAGATTTTCCAAAAAATATCTAATATACCTACAGATTCGGCTTAGTTACAATTTTATTATATAGATGTAATAACATCCACTTTTGGGAATATGAAACTTATCGATTGGTCCGATTTAAGCTATTTTCTTTTTATATTCAATCAATGTGTATTTTATAGGTATTACTGATATTAGTTATTTAGGGCCATGAATCGGTAATGGCTTAATAACTTGACTACAGTGTCAAATCGGAGCCTACTATTCCTATGAAATATTACTCGTGTGAAGTATGACCTCATACCGTCGGATCCATGAAGGGAAGGATTACGTTATATCACATTATATGGGGGAAAATTATTGGTGTTTTATGAGACTCGCACACGCGAGGGCTCTGTCTCGTGTAAAATTAATTTACGATATGTTTTAACGCTCAATTTATTACGTTTAAAGGAATGGAAATACATATTTTTCTAACTACAAAATTTTCTTTATTGACTGTAAAAATAAATACTTAAATGAAGCTGGACGCAGTTTTTACAACTTTAGAAGGCAACTTCAGCAATTATTGACTTGAATAGAAAAGTCACTTAGAAACGTATAGACATCTCGATATTAGAGACCTATCTAAAAATATCCCGCACTCTGCTTATTTGGACTGAGTTTTTCTTCACCCCTGAGTTACATCACAGATGATGTAATGCTTATACTATATTAGTACAAAAGTCCCATCACATGCAAAGAAATTGGGCAGCGCTAATTCGAGTGATTCGTTGCTTGAATATATAATAAAAGTTTTCATTTCTTCACAAAACGTCTAATATTTTTTTTTGTAATTTTGTGTAAACGAAAATATAAAAAAAATTGCAAAATTTATCCTGAAATTAATTGAACAAACACTAAGAGTTAAACCGTAATAAACCACTCATAAAAAGTCAAAGCGCTATCTGCGAATATGCAGTACAAACCTATTGCTAAACGTGATTGCGGATTTTTTTTAAATCAAGACTACGCAAATATTACCTATTTACGAGCGTATTTGTTTTATTTTCCTGCACTTAGATTTTTTTTAAATCTGTCTGTCTGTTACCGCATCACGGAAAAACCACTAGAGGTATTTTGATGAAATTTGGTATGGTGATAGCTGGTTATCCAGGTCAAGATATAAAATACTTTTTACAATGGGAAAATATCTCATCTCTGAAAAAAATACAAAAACTGCAATGTAAGAGTATAGTAATATGTAAAACCTAAGAATTTGGTTTTTGGTCATCTGAACGCGGGCATTGCGAGTTTAATAATAAATCGATACCTATAATGTTATCAATTGACATTCTTTTGAACTAATTTATCTTTGTCTCTAATGAGATCCCATGCATGTATGGATTATACTTTATTTCTTTTCCGTAATTTGACATGTCTAGTGACCGAATTGTCAGTCAGTTTACATGCAATTGCATAGTAAGTAATGACAATATTTGTCTCCGATTAATATTACTGTGACATAAGGACAGATAGGCAAGATGAAATGATAAGTTCTCCGTTTTTGCCTTTTGGCTAGGTAACCCTAAAAAACACGTGCGAGATTCAGTAACCTTTCTTATAATATCCTACTGCGAAAACTTAATGTTAATTTTCTTTATATATCTACAGTAGCCCTCCACCGCCCGCAATCAGCCTCCTCTCGAGTGGATGAAGAACTTATTCAGAAGAGTAATCGCGCTCTCTTGAACACCACTGACCCCATAGAGCGGCTGCGTCTACAATGTCTGTCCCGGGGTGCTTCAGGCATTGTTGGTATTGGAAGGTTAGTTTCATTCTACATTTTAGTGGGCATTTAATTATTCATAATAAGAGATTTACCCTAGCTTCGCTGGACTGCCTATGTGATGCTTTAAGCCATGTGCCATGTGTGTTTATGGCCATGGGTATAAAGCCACGAGACTTGTTGTGGTCTACTTCGGCAGATCTGTCGTTGGCGGTCGAAGCGTCGTGGTTGAGTGCGTAAGCGATCCTGCGACGCTCCATTAAGACGGGGGAGATTGCGTTGGTGATAGTACTGGCTTTTCTGGCCAGTGAATCCCAAATAGCCACCTGTATGTATGCAGGTGGTATGCGTAATTAATAGAGCAAGCAAGAACTCGCGGGTACTTACTGCCTTAAGAGGCGATTTTAGTGTTCTTTTTATACTCTACTGTCTGCAACGTAACTATAACCTACAACTAAAAAGTACATCTAAACAAAACTATGAGTATTGATGTTAGATATGTTTTTGTACACTTGCCTTACTTAAAACACGATATTACAATGTGTTATGATTTAATTAATACCGATCTTATCGATAAATTAACCTAAGGATTCTTGTTCAAATTTATTAGCCGTATAAGCATTACAACACAAAGTAAACATTCTTTATTTTAAATTGGATCAAGATGGAACGAACTTCAGCGCTTTTCAACTTAGAATAGTTTCTTTGTATGTGATAAGTATTCTTTTAACATATTAGCGGCGTCAACGAATTCTTATATTATATGAAACTGTATCTCGTAATTAAAATACAGAACCTTAAAAAGTATTTCACAATGTAGCGCTCATTTCAGCGATTTAAAGTTTTGTGATAAAGACAAATGTAAGTTTTATTAGAACTTATTACTTATGTTTTAACGTTTAGTATCGATTTCTCAGAAATGAGATATTTTCCCGCAGTAAAAAGTTTCCTATATGTTGACGCGGACAACCAGCTATCATCATACCAAATTTCATCAAAACCCCTCCAGTGGTTTTTCCGTGATGCGGTAACAGACAGACAGACGAAAATTGTAAAAAGTATAGATTCGGCCTCTGTATCGATATTAATGTTTATTTCAATAATATTTTCCAAAAAAATATATTTAATATACAGATTCGTCTTAGTTACAATAATTTTATTATATGTATAGATAATATCTTAAAACCTTATTTCTTATATAATTCATACTAATTATGGCCCGCGTCTCCGCTTGTATGATAGATAGGTTGATAAATTTTGTTTACGTTAATCCAAGATATTAAGTTAATAGCTACATATTTCCATTCAGAGCAATTACAACGACAAGAAGTCACACGTTTGCATTTATAATATTACTGAAATAAAATCTGGCTAATTAACAAATGCTAAAGTGTGTATGTTTGTTATTTCTTTTTTTTTTTGACGGATTTTGGTGAAATTTAGTACACAGATGACCTGAAATAGTACACACTACTGTTAGGTAACCAGGACCAGCCGAGCGAAGCGACAGTTAGTCGCTAATACATAATATTATTTATAAGTCCCACGCCGCATATGTCTGTCTGAACGCGATAAACTCAAAAACTACCAAACGGATTTTCATACGGGTTTCATCAATAGATGGAGTGATTGATGAGAAAGGTTTAGGTGTATAATTCATTAAGGTTTTGTGTAAATTAGTTGAAATATGATAATGATTGTTGAAGATGTCGGAAAAAATCTTGCCGACTGCAAGCTTTATTCGCGTGTGCCGCGTAAACTAGTAAAGTTATAGAAAAACAACTTATAACAGAATTATTACTCTTAAAAAGATCTTCCTATTAAACTAGCAACGATATGTGCACGTACCTAGAAAATGGGGACGCACCCGAGCGAAACGAGCCACTAGTAACATAAAAAGTTTTATTTTAATTACAAAAAAGTAAATTATAGTTTTAATAACAATATAATAATTAATACTAGCTTATATTTTTTTATTTTTTAGGGTTTTCCGTCGCATGGACGATGATGGCAGCAAGCAGCTTAATAAAGAGGAATTTATTCATGGCATCCAAGAGACAGGATTGGAGATTAGCAGGGATGTATGTACATACATTATTTACATGTTTTTATACATTGATTCCTACAATAATGTCAAGTTTTTTTGGAACCATGTCTCAAAAAATTACGGACAAGTGCGAGTCGGACTCGCCCACCGAGGGTTCCGTACAAATTTTTAGGAAATCTGTTTAACTTTAATTTTTAATTTTTATTATTTTTTGAAATTTTTCCTTTATTTGTGCTGTACGACCTTGCTTTTTACCAAATTTCGTGATTCTAGGTCAACGGGAACTAACATATAGGGTTTCGACCAAAAAACTAACGGGTACTTCTGTTTGACCTAGAATTGTCAATTTTGGTTAAAAACAAGGTCTTACAGCACAAGTAAAGGAAAAATTCCAACAAATAAAAAAAATGAATATTAAGGTTAATTTTGGTAGTTACAAGTTTTCGCGAAAATCAAATTTGTCGATTTTTTCGCGGATTTATTTAGATTTTTGGTTCCAAATCCGCGAAACAATCCGAAAAGATAGTTTTATTTAAAATGTCCAATATTCGCGTATATCTAAGAAAGTATTAATTTATCTATTATTTTTAATATTTTCTTGTTGTTTAAGGAAGCTGAGGAGATGTTCAGCGTGTTCGACAAGGACAACAGCGGCTCCATCAGCCTCGATGAATTTCTTCTGCAAATCAGAGTATGAATAGTTTAATTAATTTATTTTAAACCAGGTCGTCTCTAGGTACGTTTTGACCGTTAGTATGGAATATGATAAGTTTTATATCCCTATACCGATACTGGAAATGATTGATTCTCCATACAAAATTCCACCCTACTTTTTACCCCCTGAAGGGATGATTTCCGGGGTGGAAATTATCCTATGGCCTTCCCAGGGTCTTAAACTATCTCCATACCAGTTTTAATCTAAATCGGTTCAGCCGTTTAGTCGTAAAAAGGTAACAAACAAACAGAGTTATTTTCGCATTTATAATATTAGTATGGATAATTCGTACTGGTTACTGGCTTACTCCCATATTTTTTTCTAGAATATTGTTTTTTAACTACACTGCCTCGATGTCTAAAGATTGTGAAAGTTGGTTTTTTAAAGGTTCGTAGACTAAACGAAAAGCAGCATTATTTCTTTTTAAACGATTTCCAAAAAGGAGGAGGTTATCAATTCGTCGGAATATTTTTTTATGTATATTTACCGATTACTTGAAGACGCCGAAACCGATTTGGATTTTTTTTGTTTCATAGGGTATATATACTTCCCAGGTGGTCCCATATAAATTTTATCAAAATCGGTCGAGCGGTTTATTAAAACATCAACAGTAAATTATTTTCTTAAATAAATTGTTTAATCGAATATGTTATTAAAAAAAGCCACTTTCTTCTCACAAATTACCTGCTTATTACGTCTAAACTAAAAATGGAAAAATAAAAACTTAAAAAAAACGGATTCCAGACACTAAATATAAAAAATAACTAAACGAGGGTTTTCATTTACAATAGATACGTTTCATTTTAGTGCCTGGAAGTCTGTTTTTATTTATTCTTCTAAAGTTTTTATTCATTATTTTTATTTCCCTTGTTATTTCGTCATATCCGTCTGTTAATATGTCACAGCCAAATAGTCGGAACTTCGGATTACTATTGTTTGTAGTTTGTAATATACAGCTGAAATAAGGAAGGTAAGTCTTTTGTGTGAACCGCTAATTACTTCGGGTATAGTTTCTAAACAGGTTGTCCAGTCAAATGTTCAACATTGCGCCACTCTTCCTCGAATTTCAAAAGTATGGGATAAAATTAGTAGTTTTTGAAATATTTTAAACGAAAATATTTTTACCAGTTAGTTTTTGGCAAATAGGATATTTTCGTTCCAAGGCTTTGTTTACCGGCTGCATAAATCTATTGTATTCTATTGTAGTCTATTGTATATGGCTATTGTAAAAGGCAGAAAACAAGTTTTGTTCACGTTGAATAAGTACCTTTTTTAATGTAAAATTGTGACCTCCGATTTTGGGTTTACGATAATATCTTAAATCTAAATTATTAAAATAATATTTGTTAAAAGTTAAAAGAAAAATAATGTGTTATGCTACGAAATCCTCGGTGCGTGAGGCAAATTCGCACTTGGCTATCTTTATTTTTCCTAATTCGATCTTACAAGAGGTTGTCAAATGCAGCCAGATGTGAAATGAATCATCTTTATTTTTGATTCGTGTTCTCTGAACCAGAAAATGGCAAATGTTAGTATTATAAATAGTATAGACTAGCATTGCCCGCGGCTCCGCCCGCGTTCAGGTGACCAAAAACCAAATTCTTAGATTTTACATATTAGTATACACTTACACTGCAGTTTTTGTATTTGTTCACAGAATTGAGACATTTTCACGCGGTAAAAAGTGTCCTTTAAGTTGACCCGGATAACCAACTATCACCATACCAAATTTCATCAAAATCCCTTCAGTGGTTTTTCTGTTATGCGGTAACAGACAGACAAAAATTCTATAAACTATAGATTCGGCTTCTATATCGATAATAATGTTTATTTCAATAAGATTTTCCAAAAAATATTTAATAGTACAGATTCGGCTTGGTTTGTCATGTAAAACCGTTCGGTTCAGCTTCTTAAGTTTCTCCTGTCGTGTCGAAGTATCGACCCATCGGACTGTGAGAATGAAAAGAAAGGGAGATTGCATGATATCTGCGTGTACATTTCTGAACTATAATATCTTCTGCGCAATTGGCTAGTCTCAGTGAAATTGGTCGTCGTGGCTGAAGTCTGTCAGGAGGACATTATCATCAATATAATATTCATATTTTCCACCTCTAGCCACCAATGTCGGAATCTCGCCGCGCGATCGTGGAGCAAGCGTTCAGGAAGCTGGACAGGTCTGGTGATGGGTTCATTACAATTGATGATATACGTGGGGTGTACGCGGCTACTGCACATCCCAGGTAATAATAATAGCTATAATAACTCTTTATTTATATAATTACACACAAAGAAGTTGGATATCCGGTGTTGGAGTCATCATTATTGATGATATACATAAGTGACGGAACGACTTCACGTAAGCCCTGCCCGTTGAAAGAACCAATTTGTTCCGGATCGAGCTGTTGACTACGTCAGGACGAGCGTGTCATGCTCAATGGAAAACGTCATACAACGTCGCCTTATATACCTATCGTTGCATGGTTGTATGAAGCTTTGTTAAATTCTTACTCACGTGACCCAACGGCATACTTAACTTCTTCAATACGAGGTCAGGGCATAGACTACCACGGCCAAGTGGCCAAGTCCGGGGTGGCTTACGTGGCGTGGTGGACTTCATGTCTTTCGGAAACTAGATAGGTTCTCTCAGACCTAGTTACACTGATACGAGAATTTTATATATTACATATACATGTAGCGATACCTTTTGTCAAATTTTATTATCAACAGTAGCCTATCTGTTACTCCTGGTATATAGTCTTTAAAAATTACATCCAAATCCGTCTAGCCGTTTCATATAAAGAAGTAATGAACCTACACACAGTAGTGTTATTAACAAAACTAATTGAGTTTTTTCCACAATGTAACATTTACAGATATATGAGCGGTGAAGAGTCGGCAGATGCTATACTGAACAAGTTTCTCGCTAACTTCGAGTCTGAAGGCTCGGTCGATGGGAAGGTCAGTAATGTGTTTATATTACAAGTATATATTGTTATATTGTACATATGTGAATGTATGTACGTATACTTGCTGTATTACTTTTGTATGCTGGGGTTGGTGGGTTCTATTCATTCCTGCATGGACCATATGTTTATTAGGGTGGAGCGAAAATATATTTTTTTGATTTTTTTTTTCTGAGCTTGGGGGTAGAATTTGTGGCATAAAAAAATCAAAATTTTTGAAATAAAAAAAAATCTCAACATTTCGAGTTAGCCCACTGATTTTTAAATAATTGAAATTTTTGGTTTCAATGAAATTTTTAATCTTTAAAAACATTCGAGAATTGACGAATATATTATAGTCATTTTCTATCCAATTTTTGTTTTTTAACGTTTTTAAATATGATAACAAAAAAATCGTTCAAACTAAAAATTTAAATTAGTTACGTTAAAGAATTGATTTTTTTTTATTTTAAAAAATTAGTTTTTTTTCTACCCCCATGCAAAGAAAAAAAGCCATTTTTTTTCGCTCCACCCTAATGTTTATATTGACTAAACTCATTTAAACTCGATATTAGATCCAATTAATATCCCGCAAAATAACCGCTTTATTGTCATTTTACAATGCTTGACCAGAAATCTATAAAATGTATGAGAATGACACATTATTATAATTACTTTTTGCCATTTTAATACTTTTTTAAAATTTCTACTCTAAATATTCTATTCTATTTCTACTAAATATAAAAGAAATAATATACAACGAAACACTGATACTATCGAAAGAGGTCAAATGCTTGGGAGTGACGCTCGATAGTAAACTCAATTGGAATACACACGTAGATAAAAAAGATAACCTCGTGCCACAAAATATTAAATCAATGCACGCGCATGGTTAGGAAACATGGGGCATCAAACCGAAAATAATACTCAGGCTCTACACCACGGTAGCACGAGCATCTCTTACATACGCCAGCCTAGTCTGGTGGACAAGAACAGAACTATGCACAATCCAGAAAAAACTTCAGAAGTTCCATATAACGGCTAAGCCATCAAAGGATGCATGGGGATTACACCATCAGTTGCCTTGGAGTTAATAACGCCTCTACACGTTCTTATAAAACCAGAGGCAGCTATATCAGCTCTAAGATTGCAATCATCCATCAATTGATATACAATCACGGCAGACACACCAAAATCCTCGACTTTTACGCCGTGGAATGCCCACAACAAACGTGGCCCAACAGAATAAACAAAACCCACGTGATTGAGAAGCATTACAATATTGACTTAACAGAGGACAAAGAAAATGCTAGCAGGTCTGAAACAGTACATACTCACTTTGTCTAAACAAACGGATCTAAATCCAAAGAGGGTGCAGGGGCAGGTATATTCTGCCTCACTCTCAATATTAAAACCAGCCACCACTTGGGTATGTAAAACTATATTATAGTTGGTGCACAAAAAAAAACAAAATTAATAAACAACACAACAATACATAAAAAAACAGCAAAACACTACTACTTACATTAACAAAAAATACAACATATTAGAATGTCATAATACTCTAGAATACATTTCCCAAACCAATGAAGTTCAGTTTACTTGGGTAAATGGTCACACCAATATTAAAGGCAATGCGGTTTCGGACAATTTAGCTAAACAGGCCTCAAAACTAAAGGTGAAACCTTCAGTAAATACAAATCATGCCCTAACTAACAAAACAGTCTAAACACTGGAAGCCAGAAGACAAACACTGACTGCCGTCAATCCAAAGAAGCCTTTCCCAAACCTAACAAACATCTAACAACCAAACTAATACGCCTAGGCTAAAATAAACTGAAAACGGTGGTGGGACTTTTAAAGGACACTGCCATCTCAATAAACATTTTTTCAATACAGGAATCACAAACAGGCCCCCTGTGCGAGCGTGACTTTGAGGGGATGAAACACCAGCCCACATTGTGCTTGAATGCAGTGAACTGGAATACCTAGGTGCAGAAAAACTTGGCCCCAAGACTCCCGGAAATCTATCAGAACACTGGCAGCCTGCTATACTCCTGGGACGCCCTGGAATGGAAAGAATAACACAATGAATAGCACAAGCTCACGCACAACAGACAAAATAGCCTAAGTGCGGAAGAAGCCTTGCAAGAAGAATGAGAAATAATATTAAATATTTTTTGTATAAAGAACGTCCTAAAGTAGAAGTTATAGGATTGATTTATACATTGTTCAAACTGATATAGTTATTTAAAAAAATGTTATTTACATGTATTAAAAAAATCAAACTAAATATGACTATTGGCTAAAAAACAAATATCACTTAATGAGTATATTTTTTTAATTTAATTTCAGATAACTCTGGAAGAGTTTATGAACTACTACAGCGGCATAAGTACGTCTATCGACAGCGACTGCTACTTCGATCTGATGATGCGCCAAGCTTACAAACTGTAATTGTCTCGCTCTCACTCGCACGTCATAAGAGAGAAAGAGAAGATATTGCACTATGTTTCCTAATATTATAACAAATGCTTGATTAAATTACTGTTGTATTAAATCTCATTAAAACATTTTATTTCGATTTTGTTTTATTTCTTTTTAATGCTTATTCATAGGTCTTAGCTGGTTGTATAAAATTATTATTAAAATTATTTTAACTGGCTTGAGTTTTTGGGATAGGAAATTAAAGTTATTTGCAATAATTGCAATGCAGGTGTGTCAGTACACACTCATAATCAATCAGTCACATTAAAAATTCACGTAAACTCTCGATAGGTAGGTACTTAATATAGAAAAGGCTTATCCCATGAAGAATATAACATGTAAAAAAAAGTCTCGCAACGCAATTTTTCCACCGCAAGTTTTGAGATCTAATGTGAAACCAAGTCGGTTAATTTATTCAGTACCTACTGTATGTTAAGACTTCCATATACATAATATGTTTATGAAAGTCGTATAGTCGAGACATTTGCTGTTTGTTTTTTTTTTGTATATAATTTATATTCTCCATTCATTTCAACAATATTATTCAAGTAAACCTCCAACACGCAACTATAAAACAATTCTTACGTCGCAATTCGCATTACAAAATCAAATATTGTCCCTGGCGCGTAGGAGTTTACAAGACATTTGTCCCTTTAAAATAAATAAAAGAGTTATTATAACATCATTGCGTAGAGCTTAATTAACTACTTTGAATATATTTTACTTCAGTATCTATAAATGCAACTATTTGAAGCAAAATAATTAAAGATAATTTTAGAAAATATGTACGATGATAAATATTATAAAAACTTAATTTTTAAAAGTAAAAGGTTTTGTTTCATTTGTTTTAAATTGTAAAAGTGAACACGTAGGCGTATAAATAAAATGCTATAATAAAAGTAACTTAATTATTAAATAGATTGAACAATATTTATATTCATTTTCTATCTTTTAAATATTCTTTAATAGTTTAAATAATTTTTTAATTGACTATTCTTTCACTTCCGTAACGTACCGTTTCCGTTACAAAAATCGTAAAGCCTATCCTTTTTTCCCCTCTTATGGCGCGCCTAAAGAAGTTTCACTTCTTTAAAGTTAATTTTGCGTATACAAGACTCAGCAAGACCGAACAGAGCTCACAATGGATCGTCATAAAAAAGGTCAAGCTCGCCCAAAGAGGTTGCCCTGTCTTTATTGAAACTTGGGTAAAATCGCCGGTATCTGCTAGTATCTAGGTGCAGATAGCACAAGATGGCTGTCGTGGAAATCTTGGGGGTGGTGAAACTTAGTGTGTAAACGAAAATATCATATACTACAAAAACTAATCAACGTCAACTCTGCAAATATTCTACACATTTATGCACGTAAATATATTTTTTTTCAAATAAATAAGAGTTATGGATGGCTTTCCATATATACAGTACTAAATTAGGAAGTGACATAATATATTTAATATTACTACTATTTGTTTCAATTTAGTAATTTTACCATTGTGTTGTGGTTACGTAGAACACTTACCTACCCAATTATCAGTTATTATAACAATAGTCTCGGATTAAAATGGCTGTGGACACTGGACACTGGTCAATAATGAAAAATATGTATGTATGTACCCAAAACGCAAAATATCATACATACATCATGATATTTTGCATTTTGGCTACGGAACCCTAAAAAGAAGATCGAGTCATTTAAACATGTTATAGTTACTTATAGGTAGGTATTATTTAATTTTTTCTCTACGGGAAAGACTTGAAGTGAAACTTCTTTAGAATCGTTGTTATTTGAAACTCGATGAATCGGATATGCGACACTAAAAAGAAACAAACACATAAATATATAAGATTAAGCGGCGAGAGAATGAGACAGAATATGTGGCCATGGTAACCGTTGTTATTGTCTGACAAATATATTATATACTTTCCGTATAAGATAATTGATATTCTATAAATATATGATTGTAATGTGCCTAATATGCCTTTTTTAATTATTTGAGATGGAATACCATTACACAGGAAATGAAAAATAATAAAATTAATTAATGAATAATAAAATGTAAAATAACTTTTAAACTTGGTAAAAATATTATAAAAAAAATAAACCTTATAATTATTCTACCCCTGATTCTCTATATTCATCTCATTCTGCCGTAAGCATGGACTTATGTTACTTTTCTGACGTTTTACTTCTAGCATTTGGTTATATAATCTACCATGTGTGAATTGCACACACACGCACTGCTTTTTTATTAAAAACTAGCGACTCGCCCTCTCTTCGCTCGTCAGGATTCTAAATATAAGTACTCTCGCCCAAGTGCTCTTGGCGAGACATGCGGAGACGCGCTCTCGCGCGATACGCATTAGATACACCAGTGCAACGTTACGTTGGATACGTTAGAAAATTTTAAATTTGAGAATTGTTTAGGTTCAAATCGATAAAAAACGCGCGAAAAACTCTCGTTGAGCGCCTTCACTGCACGGGCGTTGAATACACTTTGACGTCACGTCACGCTTTGACGTGTACATAGGCCTTTACGTAGCTACAACTTGAATTTATGTGACAAACTGAAGCGCGAGAATAGACATTGATGTACTCATCTATCAAAGCTAGAATAGTTGAGTCCCATTATTTTTTAATCGCTAAACCAAGAATCACAGATATATACCGTAGCGAAGCGAGTACTATCAAGCAGGGCGCGGAATCGGTTTGAAAAAACAGTTAATTTCGGTAATGTTTATTTATAGTCGTTCAGTAGACGTTTAATAAAAATTAAAAAGTAATGGCTTATAGAACGCATCGGTTCACTAAACCAACCAGGTTAACACTTATTCTTAGAAAATTTAACGGCTTTCGAGCCCTCTTAGTATTTTACACTCTCGCTGTACGCATGTCTTGGGGTGGCTCGACGCGAGTGTACAACCGAAGGATAGGTCATGATTCACGAAAATGGGCGGCGTGTGACCCTGAGCCTGACAAACGAATTACGAAACGTCGAGAAACGAAACTACAGTTATTCGTAGAGCATTTGACAGTGTAGTTGTGTTGATAAATTTGGTTCCTTAAAATATCGATCAATTGAGTCCTTTGATTGATTAATCTACATACATAAAAGTTACGTCGTAATGGATCGCAGGTCAACAACAAATTCCAATAGTAAGTTTTTACAATTAACCGAGTTGTATCTTCATGCTTTATTACTTTTAAACGAAATTGTATCACGTGTTGTTTGTATACAAATGTATGAAACTGATACATTTTGTAGTTTTATGTTGTTTAAAACGCTTATAAACGGAATTGTGTTTCGTACTTTATTTACTACAATTTTAGCCTATTATTTTAACAATTTACAAACCGGCCGATGCGGGGTGCCGTAGATCGATGAGAAATGTCGTAATAAGGATTTTCAAGCTTAAGTCCTGGATTCATTTTAATTTCTTATTTAACCTATACTTATTTAAATTTGTGTTATTTTGTGGTTGTTATTTGTTTTCGTTTCGTTTTACATTTATTAGCAAACATTGTCAACAAAATTATAGAAGTATTTCAATAATGTTTACTATCAAACTGAAAACAACATACCATAACAATACGTTGTTTTAAATATCTTGATTGTCAAATTATTACCTAGTTCTTTTACTAATTATAATCATTTATAATCCTCTCCAAACTTTTTGGCCGCCATGAAACGACGCACAATGCGCACCACGCAGCGACTCATCTTAAATCTTAAAGTTTCGTTCGACGCATTGCGTAGTACGCAGAACGAAACATTAAGGATTTGGGCGAGGCGGCCTCGCTATGTCCCACCTGCACCGCCCGCGAGCTCGTCCAGTGTAGTGTGCGTGAGCGTGACACGTTTGTACATAAACAAATGCACACATAACGCTCTGTAAAAAATTCCAAACTACTTTGTTATTTTTGTCATCATATTTATCTTGTTGTGTTTAACTTTTGTTTGTCTTACAATTTATGAAAAGTAACCTCGATAAGGACTTCCATTTGACATTTAAAATGTCTTACAATTTTACAATTTATAATTATTACACTATATGATATACTTTTAATACACAAAACTGTTTGCACAGTTTGTCTGTGGGATCAGAATCTCACAGTTATTAATCTTACATTATAATATTTAAGGATATTTATATATATTTTACATTTATATATATTAAATTTATATGTATTACATTATGATAATTTGAGTAGGTATGTTTAATTATGTTAAGCTGTCCATATAATATTTTTTTAATAATTTGGCGAATTTACTTTTACTTGGTTCAAGTCTAATATCAGCGGGCAAATTGTTCATAAGGTACGGTAGACGTTTATCCAGCGTTCGATCGCCATAATAATTATGTACCCTTGGAACAATACATTTACCCGCTTTGATGATGAAATTGAAATGTATCAAATTTCCAAATTCTATTAATTGATTTTATTTATCAATATTATAATTATATTTATTAAAAATAATTAAAAAAAATCATACATATGAAAAAGTAATTAATAGCAATATTATGTTACTTTATTAACATATATTTATAATTGTGTTACTTATAATTGCCCACTAAAATATAATAAGTATATTATCTGCACGAGGTTTTGCTAGTGCCATATTTAGGGCGCCAAAAACTTTGGCAGGGACATGGTAATATTATATATGTATCAACATCACCGTGGCAAAGATTATATCAATTACCAATACATAATATATACAAAAAACATTGCTCTAAATTTATAATTTAATTAACTCAATTCTCAAATATGTTTAGCAAATGTTAAACAGTACAATTTGAGCTGAGAATTTTAACTAGTCAGACTTTGAAAATATCTGTTTAGGTATCTATAGTAGGTTATATATACAGAATTAAGGGAAATTGGTCACAACCCCGTTAAAGGAATACAAATACAGGGCATTAGCTATCAAACGATCCTCAAAGTGCTTATGCAAAAGTGTATCATTTTCGAGTTATTATTATTTTGCTTCTCTTCTATGTAAAGGGTTTGCGACTTTAAAAATAAATTTAAAAAAAAAAAAAAAAATGTATTTCATCATATTTTTTTATTTCTAGCTGTTGCACATCCTTGTTAATAATAACCAGTAACAAAACAAAAACAATCTTCAAACATTTTAGAGCTCCAAAACTGTACAAGTACATTTTTACAAATTTTCTGTAAAAATTCCTATGACACTTATTCTGCAGATCATTTTAAAAATATCGTTAGTTTTCCATGGGTACATAAAAGTTACAGGAAGAATCATAAAGTCAAGAAAAAATGACAACACAGGGACAGGTAGAAAGTTCTAACGAATGCTATTGTTAAGGAATTAAATCAGGATCAAGGTAAAAACGACTTTAATGCAAAATTGTTAAAGATTATCTTTCAATAGGGTCAACAAGTAAAAAAGGAGAGATAACTTAATAAATAAATAATAAATATTTTGGGACATTAACACATAGCACCATATAGTTCTATGGTAAGCTATGAGGCCTGTGTTATGAATACCAGATAGTTGATACACTACACAATTATATAACTTTTAATACATAAATATTATAAATATAAACACCTATGACTAGAGTACAAACATTCGTGCTCATCACACAAATAATTGCCCCCAGCGGGACTCGAACCCACGACCACAGGCACAGCACGTAGGGTCGCTACAAACTGTGCCAAACGTGTCTATCGAAAAGTGTGTAAATTGAAAACTTCAGAACTGTTATTTTGTATGGGAATCACTACTTCGGATTAATTTCAATAGATGGCGTTAGTAGCGGACCTATCATCTAAAACCAATAGTGTCCGAACGAAGGTCTATTTTTGGCCGAAGCCGAAGCCGATTAATCGGCTATCGCCACAACCTTCGGCCGAAGCCGAAGGTTTATATTCTCTCAGCACTCAGTAATTAATTTTGTATCAATACCTCAAATAACCTCAATATTGAAGGTTTATATTGACTGTCTCATATAGAAGTTGATGATATATCATAGAGATGGTTGGTTTAGAGATAAATAAAAGTTTGTGATTTTGTGATTTACCTACTGGTAAAAAATAATCATTTCTTTATTATGTAATTCACAAATTACAATTAGACCAATCAGTCTTTGTTTTACTCGACTAGACCAAAACTAGACTAATAAATAAAATAAACAAACACTAAACGTGCAAGAACAAGTAACCTACATGTATTATATCTAAGAATCGTATCCTACTGCGAAAATGTTTTATATTAATTTTCTAATATTATATCTACAGTAGCCCTCCACCGCCCGCAATCAAACTCCTCTAGGGTGGATGAAGAACTTATCCAGAAAAGTAACCACACTCTCTTGAACACCACTGACCCTATAGCGCGTCTGCGTCTGCAATGTCTGTCCCGGGGTGCTTCAGGCATTGTTACTATTGGAAGGTTAGTTTGTAAATTTCATCAGGTACTTAATTTAATTCATTATTAGAGACCTTACCCTGCCTTGGGTCGGGTGCGCTCGTGGTGTGATATTTATTTATTTATTTAATCATTTATTTCGGGCAATATTTACAAAAGGATCTTAAGTATGTAAACAGAGGCCCATAGCATATATACCTTAAAACTAACATACATATTAATTATAAATGTGATATGTGCCTTACATATGATATGTGTTCCTCTAGGCCAGGGGTCAGCAACCTTTTGAATCGGAATAGTCAAAAATTACAATTCGCAAAATTTCAAAGTTTTTTAAGAGCCACAACAAATTTCAGTCTTCTTTTCTTCTACTTCTACTTCTTATCTTTTAGAGTCCATCTCCCCGTGTGTGTGATGTGTGTTCACCATGTTGTGTTTGGAGGCTCATTAGCGTCTGGCAATCTTACTGACGGTGTACCATGCTCCTGGTACTTCTCTGATAGCAGAGTGTACCGTGAGACCAATAGTTGTCATGATCTGCCACGGCAGGCAGCCGTCAGGGCACAAAAATACATATTAAAGTACAATATTACAAAGTGTTATGATTTAATGAATACCGATCTTATTGATAAATTGACCTTATCTAAGGATTCTTGTTAAAATTTATTAGGCGTATAAGCAATATAACACAAAGTAAACAGTACTTATTTTTAATTGGATTGAGATGCAATCAACGCCTTTTAGCCCAGTTACTTTATATCCCGAAAAAATGTACTGTTCGGGTTAGTTTTTTTGTTGCTAGTAACACAAAAAATCATTCATTTTAATTTAAATAAACCAAAGCCAATTATAGTTTAATATATTTGAATATATAATATAAGTATGAGTGACAAAAGTGGTTTATAATATTTTTCATTGTTTGTAGGGTTTTTCGTCGCATGGGCGATGGCGTCAAGCAGCTTACTAAAGAGGAGTTTTTTCATGGCATCAAAGAGACAGGATTGGAGATAAGCAGGGCTGTATGTACATTAACATATTTGTTTTTATAGATACCTATACTAATGTCATGTTTTTTTAGGATCCATGTATCAGAAATCAAAGATTTTTTTCCGGATTCGCCTTAATTATTTCTAAAAGTAACTTATATAGTAATAAAATTAGTTTAATCTACATTGTTATATAGAGGTAAAATTTGTAAGTTTGTATGTAGGGGTTAGTCTCTGTTAAAAAAAATTCAGTAATAGGAAGCTACATTACCGTTGAGAACTATATTCTATTAAGATAAAAATGTGTTTAAGTACTGTCAGGAATCAAACCTACGCACCTAGTTTATATTCTCAGTTTTGTGTCTTACTATTATATATTTTTATATAAACAAATACCCACTCATCATAACGCTATAATTTAGTCGAAATAGATTCATCGTGGACATATTAGGCACATTTTTTAATATAATTTACTAGCGATTCACCCTCGCTTCGCTCGGGTTCGTCCCTAGGTACGTTTTAACGGTTAGTATGAAATAGAAATCATTAAATTTCTCGTCTTTTCTGTACTATAATATGCATGTATTATACATATAAACTTTCCTCTTGAATCACTATCTATTAAAAAAACGCATCAAAATCCGTTGCGTAGTTTTAATTTTTAGGGACAGACAGCGAGAAGCGACTTTGTTTTATACTATTTAGTGATGTATTATATATTTTTTTATACTTATTGTTTTAGGAAGCTGATGAGATGTTCGACGTGTTCGACAAGGACGGCAGCGGCTACATGAGCCTCGATGAATTTCTTCTGAAAATCAGAGTGATAATATAATTAATTTATTTATTTTAAAGCCAAGGTTTGCTAGCTTAGTAGAAGTTTTTTAACCGACTTCCAAAAACGAGGAGGTTCTCAATTCGTCGGAATCTTTTTTTTATGTATGTTCACCGATTACTCGAAGACACCTAAACCGATTTGGAAAATTTTTGTTTTGTTTGAAAGAGTATACTTCCCAGGTGGTCCCATATAAATTTTATCGAAATCAGTCGAGCGGTTTTTAAAAAAATCAACAATAAATATATTTTTTAAACAAATTGTTTAATCGAATATGTTATTAAAAAGTTTCTTCCTACAAATTACCTGCTTATTACGTCTACACTAAAAATATAAAAATAAAAACTTAAAAAAAAAACGACTTCCAGGCACTAAAATGTAAAAAATAACTAAACGAGGGTTTTCTTTTAGAATAGATACTTAATCAGATATTTTCGAAGTCGGTGCCAGCCGACGCATAGGAAATCTAATATATTTTGATACGTTAAATACATATTTATCTATTGGATATATTCGTATCTTAAAATATTGTCCGCTTATATTAATTTTTAATTACACTATCTCCTATGTCCAAAGGTTGCTATCATTTGGTCTAAGGTCCTGTAGTCTAAAGGTAAAATGGAACCCTAATTATTTGGTCACGTCTGTCTATCCGTATGTCACAGTCAATTTACGCGGAAGACATTGTTCATTATGTATGTTGAAATAAGTGTAAGAGAAGGTAAGCTAATTATTTCGGGTATTTAAAAATGAGAGGAATGTTTCTAAACGAGTTGTCCGGTTAAATCTTTCAAAAATTGTGAACTTTAAGCCTCTCTCCCTATTTTTTCATAAAATCACTTTAAACGAAATTTATTTTATTTCACAGTATGTTGGGTTGGTTTTTGAGAAATAGAGTATTTTCGGTTCCAGGCTTTGATCGTTTATCGGCTGCAAAATTTACTTTGTTTTTTATAGAAAAACTATATAATACAAACTTATTTACGGTATCAATAAGATGAATATATTATGTTTAGCATAATTATAACTATTAAAATATTCGGAAATTATTCGGCATTTTAACCGAATATTCAGCCGAATAAGAGCACTTAAAAAAGCGCCGAACATACCGAATACGAACATTCGGCACATCTCTACTTTTAAATGAAATGGGACCGGAGTTGGAAAGTAGGTGGTGTTTCATGTGCCTCGAAGAGCACGTAAAGCTGTCGGTCCTGCGCCGACACTCACCGCGAGTGTCGAAGTATCGTCACATCGGACATTGAAAGTAAAAAGGAATAGAGAGTGCACTCGTGTCTTCGTGAACACTTGTGCACTATAATATCTCCTGCGCAGTTGGCTAGTCTTAAGGCTAGGCCGCCGACATCACCATCTATTATATTCATGTTTTTATCATATACTAGCGATTCACCCTCGCTTCGTTCAGGTTTGTCCATAGGTGTATTTTCATTTTTTGGACGGAGCCCTAATTCTTTTACTGAAATAAAAGTAGCCTAAGTTACTCTTTATAACATCAACCATCTGCCAATGAAAGTCCCGTCAAAATCGGCCCAGCCGTTTCGGAGATTAGCCGGAACAAACAGACAGACAAAATTTAAAAAAAAATGTGTTTTTTCTTATAAATACCTTATATAATTCCATATGCATTTAGTATAAAGCTGATATTTTGGCATTACAAACAGACACTTTAATTTTATTTATCTGTATAGGTAGATTATATTTATGTATTCCACCTCTAGCCACCAATGAATGAGGCTCGCCGCGCGACCGTGGAGCATGCGTTCCAGAAGCTGGACAAGTCTGGTGATGGGTTCATCACTATTGATGATATTCGTGGGGTGTACGCGGCTACTGCACATCCCAGGTAATAATATATCTAATACCTTAAAACGAGCAATTTTATTTATATAGCTATACTGGCGATCTCGGCAACGGCTGTAACGATTTCGCTGAAATTTGGTATGTGTGGGTTTTCGGGGGCGAAAAATCGATCTAGATTATAGTACATTCGCGTCAAGAAAATTGTGAGTCATCAAGTGCAACGGCAGGTAAAGGTGTATACGAAGTGGGAGTAAAAATTCAAATCTAATTCCATATTTCAAAAGATTAAGTCTATTGGATATAAATCAACTTAATTATTTTACTTATCTCAAATCTTGATTTCAGATGACAATGACTTTATTTTGATTTGTGATAAATATTGAACATAATTGTCTCAAATCAAAATTAAGTCATTAATAATATATTTAAGTTTGCCTTCAACTGGTCATTGTGAAATAAGACTTTATACTTTTATGCAATCGAATTGGTCGGGGGGTGTGGCTAGGCCGGTGGACACCGATGACTCACTATTTTCTTAACGCGAATGAACTATAGTCTTATGTCAGAGAAAACGTTTGTTTCGAGTTTTGTTTCGCATTATTCCGCGCAAAATATGGTCGCTAATTTCGCACACTCTTGCATAAGCGTCGTGGTCGAGGAGAAAAGGCTCAAGATTGACAATCACAGGTTCGAATCCCGGATACAAAGTTGCTTCTCTCGCGTCCGTCTCGAGCTGCCTTGTGTAGTTATAACATAGTCAACACGAATTTTGACTTTGATAAGAGTGTATGAAATTTTGATAGATTTATTGAAAAAATATATATGTATGGCCTGAAAAAAATTGCTTCTGCATCTAGGAGAACGGTTGATTATATATATATATATATATATATATATATATATATATATATATATATACATTTTTATCAACATTTAATATCATATCAAAATAGTACAAAGGAGTTTAAAAGTGAACTCTATTACGTTTTCTTTCATGTTTATAAATACTTTCTCACACTAAGCCCCAAATCCTATTATATTTTCGTTGTATTGACCCCGATAACGGCGTTCGAAGTCCATGATGTATTGATTAAAACATTCTCCTTATTTCTTTTGAATTGAATAAATTCGCGGTATTTTTAAAAATATCAGAACTATTGAACTTTTTTTCAAATATGATAACTCAAGAAAAAGGATTTGCCTATTATCCTAACTACGACAAAAGCAAACTTTTTAAGGAATATGGGTATTTTCCTTTATTTTAAATCATAATGAATTGAAAAATTATAAAATAAATTTTAGGACAAAGACAATTTCTTTTTTTTGTAGAGTTTTGTAATATTTATTATATACAAGTAGCGACACCTTTTGTCAAATTTTATTATCAACAGTAGCCTATCTGTTACTCCTGGTTATTATAGTCTTTGTAAATTAAATCCAAATTCGTCCAGCCGTTTCATATAAAGAAGTGACAAACATACACACAAAGTAGTGCTTTTAACAAAAATAATTGAATTTTTTCCACTATGTAACATTTACAGATATATGAGCGGGGAAGAGTCGGCAGATGCTATTTTGCACCAGTTTCTCGCTAACTTTGAAACTGAAGGCTCGACCTCGCACGATGGGAAGGTCAGTAATGTCTTTATATTACAAATATCTATTGTTATATTGTATGTATCCTATATTACATTTGTTTTTTTTTAATTTAATTTCAGATAACTCTGGAAGATTTTATGAACTACTACAGCGGCATAAGTACATCTATCGACAGCGACTGCTACTTCGATCTGATGATGCGCCAAGCTTACAAACTGTAATTGTCTCGCTCTCACTCGCACGTCATAAGAGAACAAGAGAAATAGATACTGCACTATGTTCCCTAATACATACTCGTATTATAACAAATGCTTCATTAAATTATTGTGTATTGTCAATAAAAAATTTAACTTCGATTTTGTTTTTTTTGACAAACAGAAACAAATTATCCCACGGGAACCGTACATTTATCAGGGAAAAAAGTAACCTTTTTGTTATTCTGATGTATGAACTATATTATTGTAAAGTTTCATTAAAATCACTAGTCTAAGCTGTATAAGTTACTATAGTTTTTTAACTATCCCACAGGAACTCCTTAATTTTCCGGCATGAAAAGTATCTAAAATTTTGACCGAGGTTATAAGGTACCAACATGCAAAATTTCATTTAAATCGGTCCGACAGTTTCGGAGATTAACCCGTACAAACAGACAGAGAAACAAAAAAAATGAAAAAAATCTGGACTTGTTCTATATCTGTTCTTACATCGCCCTGACTCGGTTTTTAGCAAAAAAAATTTCTATGTACAGACATTCGACGTCTACAGTTTTATTATATGTTAGATAATGGTTATCCATAGCTGAGAACAAATTTTACGGACCTAAAATTTTGGGGATCGGAAATTAAAATGGCCTATTAGTTGCAATAATTGTAATGCAAGATGTATTAAATCAGTTACTTTAATAAAACATTCAGTTCACGTACTCGCTCGATGCTTACATGTATACAAAAGACAATGCAGTAACAAAACAGTAAGTCAAAGTAAAAAAGCAACAGTTTTTCAGTTTCTTTTCCCATTCTTTCGAAATTACATTGATCGCTCGACAAAAATAATGCATTTTATATATACATAGCATTGCCCGCGGCTCCGCCCACATTCAGATGACCAAACCTAAATTATTAGGTTTTACATATTAGTATACTCTTACATTGCAGTTTTTGTATTTTTTCTCAGAAATGAGATATTATCCCGCGGTAAAAAGTATCCTATATGTTGACCCGGATAACCAGCTATCACCATACCAAATTTCATCAAAATCCCTCCAGTGGTTTTTCTGTGATGCGATAACAGACAGGCAGACAGACAAAAAATCTAAGAACTATAGATTCGGCCTCTGTATCGATAGTAAAGTTTATTTCAATAAGATTTTTCAAAAAATATTTAATGTACAGATTCGGCTTAGTTACAATTTTATTATATGTATAGATAAAAAGCAATGTTATCGAAACCTCAGCAATTATGAATTTTACTTATTTTCGCTCTGAAAAGTTCTTTCTCATTCATGACGATTTTCCATTAACAGTCCTAGTCTTGGTTTACTTTTGATAATCATTCTTACATAATTTGTTTAAGCGTGCTGTTTTATCTGTACAGATATATAAAATTTAAGTGTCTGTTTGTGATGACAAAATAAAAGCTTTGTACTAAATGCATATGAAAGTATATATACGGTACTAATAAGAAAACTAACAATTTTTAGAACTTTTTCTGCGTCTGCCTGTTTGTTCCGACTAATCTACGAAACGGCTGGACCGATTTCAAGGGACTTTCACTGGCAGATAGTGATGTTTATTGTTTTAAGGAGTGGCTTAGTTTACTTTTATAGTAGAAAAAGTATCAGGGTTCCGCGCAAAAAACTTAAAACCCATGAAATTATGTGAAAAAAATTTGCGCACCTAGGAAATGACTCGAGCGAAGCGAGGGTAAGTTGCTAGTTGTAAATATAATAACGTTTCATACGAATATTTTTATTTATTGTATTAATATTTATATAATAAATTCATATAATAGAGTTCAAACAAAATCTAAAGACCTTTGTGCTGTCTTCACAAACTATTGCTGTATAACTTACAAGTAAGTTCGTAATAAACCGTAGAATTGAAGTAACAAGTAAATATTATGGTAGGAAGTAGGTTCCTTTATCGTTATATATGTGCTTACCATTACCACTGCTGTACGTATGTGCGCACTAATCTCGAAAACTACTGAACGAATGCAATTTTTGCTGTTATAAACTGCATTTCTCCAGGAAGAATGTGATTATTTAAAACTTTTAAATTGCCCTAGAGTATATTAGTGCTGAGCAATAACAGTATTAGTGCATCGTTGTAATAGTTGGTTTGTTGGTTGTTTGATAAAAAATCTAATAACTATATTATTTTTAATTTTTGATCAAAAAATCCAATCACTATATGTACTCAAAAAATCTTAATAACAGCCCGTAGTGTGAAGTTTGCGATGTTCTCGCGGTTTGAAGAACATGTAGGTAGTAAAGTTAATGTCATTATTCTTGCGCCTAATCTGTCGTCCGGAAGTCCGTCTACCGGAAGTTGAAAGTAGAATAACAAAAAAATTAGACGTGTGCGTCAAACGTGTTTTGGTTAGTCTCAGTGAGATTGGCCGCTGTGATAAAAATAAGTCTAAGGACGTTATAACATTATTATTATTTTAATTGGTATCTATATTCTATACTTATAATAAGACAGTAACTTAGCGAAATCTCATGTACCCACTATGCATTAATTTTTTTTTTTAAATAATGAAAACGTATTGTGCACAGAATATAGACCTGAAGACAAAAGTTATTAACATTTTTGTCTGTTTGTCTCAGTGCGTTTCAAGACCGATTTTAACTAAATTTTGTGTATTGATAACTTATTACTCGAATCAACATTAAGTTTTTTTTACGTTTTCACGGGGAAACAATAACTGGCTCGAGTCATCCTTATTTTGCGTGGCTAACACCTAAAACGGCAAAAACCTTGTTATACCAAATAACAAGGTTTATTGTATATTAGTAGGGGAGCCCAAGAGGGGATTTTCTGTAGTTACTCGAGCGCGGCAGATTAATATACAGGGGGATACCTTGTACCCGGTTCAGTACCTCCACAAAACATGAGGCCCATATATAAGGCCGCCCGTGAAGGATACAGGATCAGATTAGTAAAAAAAAATTGACCACCAGAAATTCTCGAGCGCGTCAGATTAAGGTAGGGTGAGTTAATTACATCCTAAAAAGTGTATATTCCACTAATCTGACAATTTGAGAGTGACGTAAAAAAAGGGGAGGGCAACAAAGTTGTAAAAAAAAAACGTCATCTCGACATTCTCGAGCGTAGCTAATTTTTTTTTATTTTGAAGGAAATAATGCAAGAATAATGAAAAATATATAATCTGACGATTTCCGCAAGCCGAAATAACAAAAATTCGTCGATAAAGTTAAATGCGTGCAGCTGCGTGATGCCTACATTTCCTTCTCCGCGTTTCTATTCCTCTCTCACTCTTTCTCTATCTATTACTCTCTCACTCCGTCCCCACTCTGGTTTCTGCCGCCATGACACCATCACAGCTGATCATAAAGAGTATAGGGGTGTGCGAACATCGTTCGAATATTGATATTCGATTCGAAATTCGAAAAATTTCGAATAATTTGTAAAAATTTCGAATAATTCGAAAGTTTTCGAATAATTCGCGAATTAATGAAATATCTCTGGATCTTCAATTCGAGAGATATCGTGAACGAAAGAAAACCGAAAAAAAGTGTTTTTTCGGGATTACTCCGAAATTTTTGGTTCTATCAATTAAAACCTGAAAATAACTTATGAGGATAATAAAACTGCGTCGAATGCCGTCAACCGCGTGAAAATTGCTTGATCTATTCAAAAGTTATTGCGGTTTGAAAATCCAAAAATAGTGTTCTATGAAACTTCTACAGACTTTCGAGCTGGGAGAGCTCAAATGCATAGAAATATTATTTCTTTGAACTCTGCGAGCTCAAAATATCACATAAATTATATTTTGAGCTCAAAAATGCCATAAGTACAATTTTAAGCGCACAGGAATGGAATTAGCGGGAAGTTGCAGGTATGGCCTTTAAGGTGAACCGTTTTTCTAATTTTTTTTTGTCAGATCAGGCGAATCCCTCTAGATAATCGTCAGATTATGAGACAGTACGTTTAGAACATAAAGATGAACCATATATATCTTAATCTGACGCGCTTGAGTATTTCAAAATGGCGATTTTTTTTTGCACATTATGAAAATGGCCGCGAGTTTGCGTCCCATCGAAATCGTCAGATTAGTGAATGAGAGCTTTTTTTTGGTGCAATTAACACTCCCTTAGAAAATCTGACGCGCTCGATTAAATTTTTTTTTTCATTTTCAACCCTTAAATACAACCACCCGCATCATGCAAACGATCAGATTAACATACGTACATTATTAAAAATACGTAGGGCATTTATGCTATCAATATCTGACGCGCTCGAGGATGTCTATGCAACAGTTTTTTTTTACATATTTAAAAATCTATAGCCGCTTCCCCCACCGATGTAAAGGTATATATCATATAACATTTTTTTCTTCTTATCATCTAAGCTTTGCATCCCAATAGGTCTCTACGACGCTCGAGTAAATCCCCATTTAGCTTCTTGGGCTCCCCTACCATATGTTTATAAGGTCTATCTCCTAAGGTGGTACATTGAAATAACTATTTTATATTTTAAAACTAACCTAGGGACGCACTCGAGCGGAGCGAGGCTAAGTTGCTAGTGTTTAATATATTTTGCGATGAATGGTTAAAGTAGAAGATATGTAGTACATAGTATTTTGTTTTAAAAGATCATCATCATCGTGATCAAAATCTGTCCAGTGGTTTTCATGCGATGCGTTCCCAGACAGACCGGTAAAAAATCTAAAAACTGTAGATACGGTCTCTGTATCGATAATAATGACTGTATTTCAATAAGATTTTCCAAAAAAAATATTTAATGTACAGATTCGACTCAATTTTTTGATATCCATTAAAATTGACTATGGTATTTAAAAAAAAAATGACATATTAGACATTTGTTTAGCATTTTTTCCAATTACATATTTTTATACTATTTATATGAGTTATTTTGTACTAAGGTATTAATCGAAATTCAATTAGTATAAATTATTTTTATTTACAGTATTAGAACGTTACTTTTGCCAAGAAAGTATTTTCAGTGGCATAATTATTTCAGATTAGCTTTCGAAAATGTGTCGAACTGTGCACGCCCTGCTTCAAACCGCAATATGCGGTATACAAATGTTGGTGCGAGTGTTTATGACTATAATTCTTATGATAGAAAATCTCATACGAATGATTTTGCAAACACTATATAACTTTATATCATTCTTATTGCAAATGATATCATTAATACCCATATGTATTGTGTTTCTTCTTACTGCAAGATTAAAATGTTTCATGTGTGGTGGAGGCGGACCGTGTCCTGTGAACAGAGGTGGTGCTTGCGACTGTATAATGTCAGGATTGGCGATTCTGATACTCTTTTTAATATTCCGAGCCACTGGTGTCCTTGATAAAATCTTTTATAGCCTAGGCTATACGAAAGCAAGACCTACTGTACATAGATTTGTACCTACACCAGGCGATATAACCGAATGTTCTAGAAACGACACAGATTACACTGACGAGATACCTACATTTACTGATACTGATTTTTACACATCAACATACCTTTCAACCTCTACTGGGAAACTTGATGAAAGTACCTTTGAAACGAGTATGTCTATAGATGAAAGTACTCTTACTGTTACTGAAGACCAAACAAAAGACACAAGTATACTTTTAATGCGGATTTTGCAAAACATACATAAAAAACATACCACGCTACCTTCTTATTTTGTATAAACAGAAATAAAAGTTTACATGTATGTATCTTTGTATTTTTAATAAAATTATTTTCTTATTTCTTGTTTTTTTTTTTACAATATATTTTATTCATTAGATTACACCTATATTTTTTTTATTACTGTGGCTATATTCGCGTAGAAAGTATTTCCGCAACCATTAACATCTGCACGTACTCGTAAAAAGTTCATACTACAGTTCATACGAGAGTACATTTGAATTCATCTGTATATGACTGTTTTTAACGTCCCAAAGACCCGGGATTTGAACCCACTTCACTTGATTTTCCAAGCAAGCGATACCACTGGTCTACCACTGCCTTCCCTTAACCAATCGAACCTTCTTGTTAAAGCTTTATTTTTAATTAACAGTATTTGAACATTATTTGCTTGGATTTTTAGTCGCTCATAAGGCTGTCAATATAGGCAATTAAATTGATTGTTACCTAAACCTCGTTAAAAAATCTAAATGTCACCCCTTATTTCTATAAACGTTTCATCTAAAACAGATACTATTAAATTATTAAATGAGATATTTTCCCGCAGTAAAAATATCCTATATATATGTTGACCCTGCAGACGACCAGCTAGGCACCACCATAACAAATTTCATCAAAATTCCTCCAGTGGTTTTTCAGACAGACAGACAAAAGTTCTTAAAATTATATATTCGGCCTCTGTATCTATAATAATGTCCATTTCAATAAGATTTTCCAAAATTTATTTATTGTACAGATTCGGCTTAGTTACAATTTTATCATTTGTAGGTAGTCGTTCGATATTCTATGTGGGTACCTACTAGGTACCCACATAGAATATCGAACGGCCTGTGACATTATGTGTGTAACGAGCGTGTATCGAAAGTCATCCAAATTAATGAATTTGGATGACTTTTGGATACACGCTCGTTATCGTTATGCTAAATGTACATCTCTATTTTTTAACTGTCAAAATTGATGGCTTAAAACAAAAATAAAAACAGCTTTTTAAAAAAAATAATAAAACTTAAACAAAAAAAGGAAAAAGTACATAAATGAAAAATCACAAAAACAATCATATAATTCATTTTACTGATAAGAATCGGTGACGGGAACAGCGAACATGTGTTACACTATATGTGCCAGTGGTATATATCCTACAAACCATATCGAGAATCATTCTCACTATTGTGCTATCTGTCGAAGACCTTATACGACTGATGATTCGAACAATACATAATTAAACATCTACGTGCATTCAATTTCTTGCAATGCTTCCAATATGCATAGCTTTTTGCTGTACTATAAAGAAATGCTATGAAACGAATCTTTGTGGGACTGGATGTATTCTAAAGGCGGCTTTAACAGCGGTGGCTGTACTTATGTAATCATCATTGCAGTGACTGTCTTCATAATACTGTTCTTTACTTTTTGGTTTGAAGAGATTTTCGAACAAGTTGAACTTCTGTTACCTTGTGACTTAACTAGCAATTTTAAAAGAAAAATTAATATTTTTCATAAAGAAATTAAAAATAGCACGTTTGGTTTATATACCTACCAAATCTAGAGGAGATTTAAAAATTATTAATAAGAAAGCGATTGATGTATTAAAAAAAAAACGTATTCTGACGAACTTCAATATGATATTAAAAGTAGAGAGCTTAACTATGATTTTTATCTTGATAAAGATATTGACATTAAAGGGATGAAAAGCGAAAATAATAAATCGTTTAATGACATAAATGTTAGAGAAATGCCCATTTTTGTTTCTCCAAAAATATCGCTCAAGAACAAAAGTGTAACAAGTACACTTAAAAAGATTCTATATAAATATACCTAATCGGATGTGATTTTAAATGAGAGTTATAAAATAGGCTTTTTTCAAGGTAGAGCACAGAAGGCAGAGCACAATTATATTACGTTTTTTCATTCTTCAGATATAATTAATTTATACAAGGCAAAAGCAACGTTCGCACGCGCTCAACTATTAACAGTAATAAGTGTTTAAGAAAACTAGTAAAGGAGTACATATTCATAATGCCGAAGAGAACTAAGGGGGAAAAACTTAAATATTACACAGAGAAAATTAGAAAGCTAAACGAAATAAATAATCGAAGGAGTATACGTCATAAGTGAAGACGTAACAAACATGTTAAAACATGTTTTATTTGTATTGCAGATGTTGAAACGCAATCGCAGTATAACCAAGACGAGGGTAGTTTACCACGCGCTTTATTAATAGACGACGAGATAATGGAACGTGATATTAGGATGGAAGCTGTAGAGGACTCCAGAGGTTGCATCGCATCCAGAACTAACGTTCGAATACTTGCAAGCTCTCGGGGACGCCGTCGATGAGGTGCCGCAATATGGAGAGGAAATCCATAGTAACTTAGCGCAAAGGTGGCTGCCATTACTGCGTAAGGGCTTGCCAAAGGATACACGAGATGTTATATTTAAGCCGTATATAATACCAAGTAATTGTAAATTATTAAAGGCGCCTTCGTTAAACGCTGAAATATCGGCTGCTATTACTGAATCACTTAAAACACGAGATAAAAAATTAGAAAATTGTCAACAACAATTAGGTATAGGTGCATTGACGTTATTACTAACCGGTGGTGATCAAATACAGTCAATAAAGATATTGTCAGATGCATCTCGTATTTTATGTGATTTACACTATCAAAATACAGAAACTAGGATTAGATTATTAACACCTAGTTTGGACAAATCTTTGTTAAACGTTATCGAAAATAATCATGATGAGACGCTTTTCGGATCAGAAAAATTAAAGCGGCAAAATTATAGAAAAACAAGGGCTTTCTATCAAGAAAAACGAACAAGAAAGTATGCAATTAGTTAATAAATATATAATTAAATCTCATTTTAAGATGGAGGACCATAGAACAGCAACGAAGTTAATAATGGAAGGAGCGTTTCTAGCAACAATAGACTATTTATCGTAAATTTTTAAGATTTAATTTTAAAAATTCTAATTTAAAACAGTTCACCTATGAATTCAATGGTAGGCCTTACGGTTTGTCTGTGGCGCCAAGAATATTTACAAAAATAATGAAGGAAGTAGTATTTACTTAGATTTTTAGGTTTACTAAGGATAATATAGAAGCAGACGAAGAGTCTAGAAGACAAAATCAAGATATAGAATTCGAACTTAGCCGTAAATGTTTAAAATCCAAGTATATGCCCAGCTAAAACATTACAGGTGTATATTGCTAAAACAATAAATTTAAGACCTAGTAATGTATTTTTCTTAGACTTATTTCATGTATGATATTGATTATAATCACTTTAATAAAACATTTCTAATTTCATTACATGAACAGAGCGCATTACGGAGGTAGACGTAAATATGGCAGGTACGACTACCCTATTATATTCCATACTAGCATTGCCCGCGTTCAGTTGACCAAAAACCAAATTCTTAAGTTTGACAGATATACTCTTAGATTGCAGTTTTTGCATCTCAGAAATGAGATATTTTCCCGTGGTAAGAAGTATCCTATATGCTGACCCGGATAACCAGCCATCACCACACCAAATTTCATCAAAACCCCTCAGTGGTTTTTCTGTGATGCGGTAACAGACAGACAGACAAAAATTCTAAAAACTATACATTCGGCTTCTATATCAATAATAATGACTATTTCAATAAGATTTTCCAAAACATTTAATGTACAGGTTCGGCTTAGTTACAATTTTATTATATGTATAGATTTTAAATGTCCCTTTGTTACATATAGGTATATATTAAATTATATAAAATACTATATTATGTATTTTATATAATTATATAGTCGTTTATCATATTCTTTACAATCTACGTGAATGACACAATGAATCCTCGGTAATTATGTACTTACTTAAATACCTACTACTTTTCTAATTTCGTGGTTAGATCTTCATAACCTACTCCATAAAATTAGACGCTCGTTATCTCACCCGTCATTGGATCACTGCAGGTATTCTATCCATATTCTTAAGCTTAATCTTTTTCGTCCAGTTGAGTATAAAAGGCTGAAAAGTGACAGATTGAAAGAAACACGAAATCCTATTGGAGAAAATTATATTGATATTAGCGACTCACCCTCGCTCCACTCGGGTTCGTCCCTAGGTTGGTCCACCCTTATCACTTAGGGGTATGAAAAATAGATAGTAGCCGATTCTCAGACCTACTGAATACGCATATAAAATTTGGTAAAAATCGCTAAAACCGTTTCGGAGGAGTACGGTAACTAACATTGTGACATGGAAATTTTATATATAAGATTGACTGTTTTGGAAATTGCCATTATAAAGCTGTAATTGTTATAAATGAAGTATAATGACATCTAATCCTCATGCGCTTTTCTATTAGGAATTAGTACCTATTCAATAATTAAATCATTGTTCGTACTGTTAATAACATTATATTTAGATCTATTAGAAACTACTTGTCTGTATACCGCTAAAACTATTGGCACTGACATTCATTTGACACTTTTAAGTAATATTAATGGTGAATTGTCATAGAAAATGATCTAAATATATTTGGTACAATTGCATAAATGTCTTTTAATGAGTTTTTCATTTATCGTGTCTTTTGCACAAATGATATTACAAACAGGAATTCATAAATTGTCTTTGTCATAATACTTTTCTAAAATTGTTGATTACAAAAATAAACTGTGATGAATGTCTACAGTAAAAATGTCCTACAGAGAGTGAGTTATATTTGATTAATAAAATTAGATCAAAATCAACATATTCAGAATCAGATGCTATCAAATAATATATTTTTATTATAAATTAAATTTAAAGACAAAGAGGAAAGTTACACAGGTATCGAAAAAATGCCAGAATTTCATGAGACACAGTCTGCATATCTTGCTTTTTTCAGTGATGCTTTCCCGAATGAAAATCAGCAACAAAAAAGTTTATCTGAGAACAAAATTAATTTCATTCGTGGCAGTGGAAATAGCCCATCGACCGCATATAAAGCCATAATCTATAAAGATATTTGTGTAAATGGTAAAAAATTAAGCATTTGGAAAAAAGCCTTGTACAGTTTAAAGTCGTTGACTTCTTGGAAAATCAGTAAGCCAATAGACCAAAAAGAAGATTCATTAAAAGGAATCGGACAAATATCGAAAGATAAGAAATGTTCTAATAAAACACTAAAAGGTAACAGCAACAGCATTGATACAAGCGCTTGTCATTTGGATAAAAAATATTTAATAATGCATTGTAAGCACAATTTATATTACAAAGGTAGCAATGGGAATCTTCTTTGTAATGTTAGACATTTGTCTCAGGATCGCATATACTCTGATAAATGTCGGACTCGGAGCTATGAAATACAGTGTCTAAAGTATATGCGTCTACCAGTTGTAGACTTCCCTGAAGGAAATAAAATAAATGTACAAACATCTATCAATACCAGGTACAAATTATGTAAAAAAATTAAGAATGTATCTGAAATTGATAAATTAGATGTGCGTAGAAGCTGCAACGCTGTTCTTATGAAGTCGAATTCTGTGCAAGTGCAGACTCAAATTGAAAATAAACATACTGAGCCATGTAAGTTTTTAAATATGAAAAATACGAAAAACATTCAAACAAATTTTATATCTGCTAACGATCAAGGCATTAAAACTTCTCAAGATTTAAATTGTATCTATGAAAATAAATATTTTCAAAAACCAAATAATAAAAAGAATCCTCCTACAAGTAATTGTAAAAGAAATTATCCAGATTTTCACGAACACAAAATAGATTATAATCAGAACTCATACAAAAAACATAATAAAGAATCCAGCAAAGCTTGCTTCTGTCTTAATAATGAACGAAACTGTAGAACGAGGAATAAAAAGCAGATTCCGCTAAAGAGCATTGAACCTGTGTGTAAAAAAGACTTTAACTATAAAAATATTAAATATAAAGAAAACATCCAACCTAAAAATAGAATTTCACATCAATCGAAAAAATGCATGGTTACTATCAACAAAAAACATAACTCTTGTCAATGTCCTTTGAAAAAGAAACTAGATTGCTTTAAAAATAAAATTAATGGCAATTATCAAAACTGTGATGTAAATCGCTTTAAAAGAATTAAAGAGGTGTCACGGTCAGACCAAATTTTATCATTAAAGAAAAATAAATGTTTTACAACAAAAACGGAGACAACAAAAACATGCAAAGTTGTAAATTCAGACATAAATACAAGCTACAAACATGATCATATCTTAAATAATTGCAAACACAAAAGGAATTCCAGGTGCGATAAGCATCACACCGACATATCCTGTCCCCGGGATTTACGATATTTGAATGTGCAACATCAAGGTGGGGATGGTTATAAACAACATTTTATAAAATCAGACAAAAACAGTTTGAGCCATCCCCACCAAAATCAAACTACGCAAGAAAAAAGTACACATAAACATTTTCAAAATAATTCTAGTATTAATAAAAGTGTTTTACATGGTCGAAGACGTGTAATGGTAGGTGTTCAAACATTACCCATACAGTATCATACATGTAGTCCAGGGAAAGCATGTGTTGAAATACCTCTTAGATTATGTAAATGCAGGACAGGTTTGTGTAACCACTTTCAAAGTAATACGATAGCGATACCTCATAAGAAAAGAAAGAGGCATTCTAAGAAAGTCTATACACACTGTATGTACATAAATCAGCTGCCACGAGAAAATCCAGTATGCAAAGTTAATAAGAAAACATACATATACATAAATAATTACCTAAAGTGCTTATACTGTAAGGGGAAAAACATTTACAAATTAGCTTGTAAGTGCCGAAAGGAAAAATGTAAAAGAAAACGAAAAGTTGATTTTAACTATAATTGTAGTGAATTATTTCAATATACGCTTAGGCGAAAACCTTTCTTTTTTATATATCGAATGTGCCCTCGGGCATATCCTGAATATTTAAATTTTTGTTGTATGTGGAAACAATGTACTGAAATGATGTGTACATGTCTAATTTGGTGTCCATTTTTTTTAATGCTAGAAATTTGCAGATTATGTTTTTGTTACTTCTGTTATGAATAAATATTAAAAAGAATCAAATTTACACTCTTTTTACTAAATTCCCGTATTTAAAAATGACCCAGTTACAGGAATCTTAAGTAAAACCTTACATATCATATCATCATAAACTTTATAGTCGATTTTTGCCTCTTCGGCTTGTGCAAATCGGCAGATTATTGAATTGGACACTTTTCAGGATGTGACTAGCCTACCACACCTTAATCTGACGGTTTCAAGTATTTCTACCTTATCAAAACATTTTTTAAATATTTTAATCGGCTTCCCTAGACGCGCCCCTTTATATAGAAGACTTATATTATGGTGAAAGTACTCAATAGAGTGCAAGGTAACCTCTTTTATGTTAATCTGCCGCGCTCGAGTAACTACAGAAAATCCCCTCTTGGGCTCCCCTACTAATATTAATGTGTTTTAGAGACAACTCAACCTTTGATTAGTATTTTATTGTAATTCTCTTCCTAGCTTCGGTTAGTGTAATAAAAAATATATACTTAGTTACAATTAACATATTATAAAGTAGCAAATTAAAATCACTTCGCTCGAGTGCGTACGTTTTTTATAGATAAAATTATTTATTGTGAGCGTTCCTTAGGAGATAGTACATACTATTACGGACTTTTCTGTAGGTCGTTTTAAGATCTAGAATTTTCTAGTATAATACTTTTAGTTACTCGTACATATATCTTAATTCTTAAGGTTTAACCAGCGTTGGCCGTGTAAGCGTTTTTTGACAAAACAACGTCATAGTACAGCTATTTTGTAAAAAACATTTACTAATTTATAAGCAGACATCGACTTTATTTTATATATATAACGTATATACATAAATGAGCGACATACGCTCGAAGTAAATTTTGAATTTTCCTATTAAATGAGAGATTTTACCGCACTGAATTGTTAAACATGTTAAGTGTTAACGCTGCTCATATCAACAACTATAGATGGTTTTGAGGTATTTATTCTGTACTTAATATGTTACAGTCATTGTTTTTAAGAAATATTTGATGTACAGATTTTGCTTTGTTACTTTTTTGTCATATGTATACATACAGAAAAAAGATAAAAATACGTTTTACTAATTATTTTAATTTGCGCAAACAAAAACATTACTGCTTACAAAAACTAATGCGTGCACAAAAAACAACACAAAAAGGCCCGACATATCTCAAAAGAAACAATACATGGTGTCCAACAAAGAAAAGCAAGTAGAAAAATAAGTAAATGGAAAAAATTTCTCATGAAAGCTACTAAACTAAGACATTGCGGATATAAATCTGGGCAAATATGGTAAAACCAAAGATATGGAGTCTTTCTCATAGTCGTTAAAAGCATATGACGGCATCCGTACAGCGCTTCGTCGTGTCGCTTCCGTATTCTTCGTTTTCTTATTCTTTTTTTTTTCTCATAGGACTGTCTTTCTTCTGTAGTTCTTCCTTTATTAGCAAATACTTTATCGTATACAACCGAGTCTTCAAAATGATCAGCTATTATATTCATAGTATGAGATTCTTTTACTGATTGGGATATTTTCGTAGACTTGTTTGTCCATGTCATTTTAATCCAGGTAGCGAATTTCTGCATTGTTCCAGGTGGATCAAGTGCTCTTTGTCTAAAATATACAAAGCTTCCAAACGGATTTGTTAGTATGGAGAAAATCGCTGAGAAGATGTTTTTAATTGACTGAGTTACAAGATTCAATACACCATTAACTAAATTTGTTAAGCAGTTCCAGTTGTGAGCGTCGAGCTTCATTGTTTTTTCCCGTGCCTTTTTTTCTTTCAAGAGCTGCTTTTTTAGTTTTCTTTCATTATTTTTAAATTCTTTTTCTTTTTCTTTAATTTTTTTTTCGCACCGTACTCGTTTCTTTTGCAAACATTTTACAAGATATTCTTTTAATGTTAACGGTTCTATTTGCTTTCTCCTTAGTTTTCTTTTCAAGAAACATTTGTTAAGCTTGTTTTTGGAATGTCTGGACTTTTTTCTTTTGGCTCCTTTTTTCCCCGATTGAAGATTCTTCTTTCTCTTTATTTTGGCTGTTTGTTCACTACATTCGCAAAAACATTTACACCAAAGGTCCTTTTGGTCGTCTGAAAATTATAGTTGTGGATCATGAAAATTTATCTATTATTATATTATACAGATTTTATAAACTTAGTAAATCTTAATAATTTATATATACAAAAAAAAATAGTCAAGTTTTAAATTACGAATCTTACCTCTAGCTCGCTTACGCTCGCGTGATACATTTATTGATACGCCATCTCTTTTGTAATATGCGTCTGACTGAACTGTGAGGTTTCCTTTCTTTTTCTCTACATTAGTCTCAAGAGGTGGTCTTCTGACATGTCTATTAGTTGTAATTCTTTTAGGATGTCCTAAATTGTCGCTTTTGCTAAAAATCCGTGAACAGAAGTATGATATTTTGTATTTTTTTTCGGGCTGACATGTTCTATTCGTACACTCAGTTACTTCAGTTTTAATCTTTTTACTTACACATTTACAATTTAATTCTGTGCTGCTATTTTTAGCAGCAACACTGCAAATACCAGTAGGACATACTTCTTTGGCAGCTTTATTGAATATATCCCGAACTTCATACGAATTCAATATAGACATATTAGGATCAAGCATAATTTGAAACAATGGGTTGTTTTGATCCACATATTTCGACGATTTCTTTTTATTTTTCTCAAGTTTTAATCTTTTTTTCGAATCACATGTTGTGTCTTTGCATTCAATAATATTATTTTTCGCACATTTACAATTGAACCGAACACGATTGTTTGTTAAAGCTCTTCTACAAATCCCATTATCGCACACATTCTTTGAAATGTTTAATCTAGAAGGGCAAATACACTGATGCTTTTTAGATATTCCAAACTTCTTAACATTCTTATTTATTTCTAAGGGATTTAAAATACGCATTTCTTTTGAATCCACTTTCATTACAAATAAAGGTTCTTTTGATTTTTCAACAGATTTATTTGATTGTTTATGTATACTTGTAATTTTCTTTATCTTATTCAAAAAACTTCCCTTGTTTGTTTTTTCGTTACTTTTTTCAAGTGTAATAGGTGATACATGATCAACATGATCTATTATGCTCTTACTTTTATCGTCTTTCCTATCTTTATTTTGTTTTTTAGTTTTTCCTTTATCAACATGTTTTTTGACAACAGAGTTTTTTAACTCCTGAGGTATATAGTTATTATCTATCGTGCAAGGTCCACCAACACAAGAGTCTCCTGTCCCTTTGTGGTACGTTAAAGTACCTTCTTTTAGTTTTGGTTTCCTTGGAAGCTTAAATAGTATAGTAGGTGTTTTATCTTTAACAAATTTATCATTTATATGATTTTCTTGTGTTTTTAAACTATTTATTCTATTATTATGTTTGCGGTATAAGCCTTTTGATTTTTTTGCATACTTTTTGTTTTTATTGTATTTTGATTGGGATATTGAATTCTTTACTTTTTCGGGTCGTTTTTCTTTCATATAATTATTTTTATTTTTTTGTAAAGGTTTGTATAGCTTTATAGATTTCTGATCATTGCTATCCCAAATCTTTGTAGTTTCTTGATCACCATAAATCCCAGTAATGGATTGCCAAGTTTTTGGCCGGTATGTAGCTTTGCACAGACAAATGTCGGAATCGATACGTTCCTTTTTATTGTGATTATCTTTCATGGATAGCTTGGTATTGGATTCATATGACTTTGTATCGTATGGTGGTGATGTCACACTAGCGTCATTTAATTTTATTTTTTTCTGTATTTTTAGATCTCGTTTTTTCTTAGCCATATTATTTGGCAAATCACTTGATATAATTAAAGTGACTTGATATAATTAAACTTCACTTGCTTTATATTTTCTATTGCTTACTAGCGTTTGATTTTCATTTTGATAATTTAATTTTTACTTTTATGTGTTTTAATATGTACACACAATATAATAAAAATAAAACAAAGGTTTTAATAATTTAGCAATAGAAAAATCAAAAAACAACACTTATAATTTCGGTCAAACATAACTGTCACATCATCATTTTTCATTCATACAATTTTCGTACCTCATTAATTATATTGGTAATATTTTATATTAAGTTTTATAAATTATAACCATTACAATCTGGAATTATTGATTTGTCTGTTTTGCTTATAATTAAATATTGCGTTTCTTTGCCTTATAACTTTAGTTACGTATTCAAGTTGTCGTTTGTAGGCATTTATAATTTTTTAATTTTATTTCTAACATTAGTTATGGAAATACATATTATTTTATTTGCATAAATATATTATTATTTTTATTTATAAATTTGTGGTTTAACATTTTATAAGGAAAGGGGTTTGTGTATTTGTATGATAAACGTTATTATTTTATTTGGCAACTTTGAGCGAACCAAAACCAGTGTAGCCAACTTAGAGGATTTCCCACAAAAATTTAGAGGTAAAAAATTGCACCGGGGTTATTTTAGGGGGGAATTTTTTTTAGGGGCATATACTTTAATAGCATGACTTAAAAATATAAATAACATTTTATAAAGTTTCGTGTATAGATTTGGAAAAATCTTTAAATATCATTTACATCATTTATCGTTTTTTTACTTTTCTTCAAGTTATCTATGAAATTTATTATTATTAATAATTATTATTAAATGTTTAAATGTAATTATTATAATAATAACCATAAAAAAGGTTTTTAAGCTAATTGTAATCATTTAGAGGTTTTTGAAAATACTCTTAGGGGGATAAAATTTCAAGTGTTGGCAGCATTGGTTCGCTCATCGCTTTTCGACAGTCGCCGTCGGCCCCGGCCGTTCACTTTAGTTCTGCTAAAAGTGTTACAACAGTGGTAGTGTGTACGGTGTTATCATTTTAGTGGATTTATGTAGTACGAAACCGGTTTTATTTCGCTGCTATTAAACTATACTTGTTTTTTTCCATTTTGTGTCTATTATTTTAACAGCTACTGACGAGTGAATTATAAAACGCAACAAAATGGCTTTGAAATATATTATATTAGTTATTTGTATTGGTAAGTTTCTTTTACTATTAAATTAGAAATTAGAATCTAATCGATATTAAAATTTATTTAAAATATTACGCTGTGTATTAAGACCAGGGAATACTTAACATCGTTGAACAGTTTTATATAGGTATTATAATAATTTTGGTCTTATTTCGACAATGGTTTTCGTAATCTCACCTAGGTATGGTCCTATCCGATACAGATAGCAAAGGTTCATAGTTCAAAAACTAGTTCTACTTCCGTTAACAGCAGATTAAATCGATATAACTATTAAGTATAAGTATAATTTCTTCGCATTTTACTCTCACAAACATATTTTTTTGCAATAATTTTATATCATTTAAATAAAGACTTTGTTTACGTACCGTTTCTTGCTTTAAAATTTACTATTGGTGCTTAACTTATATTTGTACCTAAAATTCATAAATTTGGGCAAATGATTTAGAATATATAAAAAATAGACAGGTTTATTACAAAAAATATTATTAGTATCATTTAAATTCATTTGAAACTAAGAGACATGTATATATTTTATTTATTTGTTTATGTATAAATAGTAAATACAATTAAGCAGTAGACTAATTAGTTTAAAATTTTAGGAATGGCCTGGGCTCAAACAGAGCCTTCAATCTCGGATGAATTTGATTTAATCCCTCCTATTGATTTACAAGGAAGAGTTGATGAAAAACAAGTAACAGAACTAAAAAATAAATCTATTCAAGCCTTCAGGAAGAAATGTGAGGATAATGGAGGACCTGATGCTTACCCGTCCAGTGAGGTAAGAATAACTGATTCCATAATTTTTTAGATCCTTACCATATTTGATTTGGATCTATCACTGAGTTAGATTTTATTGTAAAGCACTGTAAGTAGTTTGGGTTGTTGTGTTTAAAATAAAAACTCAACATTTTCTTGTTGGTTCTATTGTTGAAATTGACTTGAATATAAAGCACTATGGATAGTAAGTCTGTGTCCCTTTAGACCTATTAGTCTTACTTCTTTCCTATTAAAAACAATGGAAAAAGTAATCGATCAGCACATTAGAACAAGGTATCTTGTGGCTAGACCACTTTCCTGCAACCAACATGCTTACCAAAAGGGTAAATCCACAGAATCTGCCTTAGTAGCTCTGATCGACAAGGCAGAAAGGTCCCTAGAGGATAAGCAGACAGCTCTATGTGCATTTTTGGACATTGAGGGGGCCTTTGATAACACACCTACGGCAACCATCCTGAAAGGATTAAATGCAAAAGGTGTTGATATCACAACCACCAGATGGGTGGAATATATGCTCTCCAACCGGTGTGCGAAAGTTACGTTAAACGAACACTCGCACAACTTCTACACTACAAGAGGCTGTCCGCAAGGAGGAGTGCTTTCACCCCTATTATGGACACTAGCTGTAGACCTACTACTTGTAATCATGGCAGATCTCGACTACGATACACAGGGCTATGCAGATGACCTTGTTGTAGTAGTAAGAGGTCCCTGCCTGAACACAATTTCCACCAGGTTACAAGGAGCTCTCAATACCATCACAAGATGGTGCAGAGAAAATGAGTTATCAATAAACGCTGATAAAACAGTTATTGTACCATTTACCAGGAAAAGGAAGCTTGAAAGGCTGACCGAACTCAGACTCAATGGCAAAACCCTTAACCTATCAAATGAGGTAAAGTACCTTGGAGTCACTATTGATCAAAAGTTGACCTGGAACTCTCACCTCAACAACATTATACAAAAAGCCAAAATGGCCCTCTGGATATGTTGTCGAATGGCTGGAGCCAAGTGGGGCCTCAAGCCCAAAATGGCTCTCTGGATGTACACCGCCGTGGTAAGGCCGATCATAACATACGCCTCAGTCGTATGGTGTAACAAAACCAAACAAAAGACAACTATGAGTAAACTAGACAGCATACAACGGATGGCATGTCTAATCATCACGGGAGCCTTCCACTCGGCACCAGGCGACGCTTTAAATGCATTGTTGGACATAGCTCCGCTATATCTCCACGTGCAAAAAGAAGCTAAATCTTGCCTCTACAGGCTCTGTACACAATCGAATGTAAAGTTGCAATCGCAATATATGAACAAACTCAAGGAGTTGACATTCGAACACAAAACTCTGAAAATGCCAGTCGATGGCATGAGTACAGAGTTTAACTTCGCAAAACAGTACCAAATAGATCTTCCCAACCGGGACATGTGGCTAAAAAACCAAGAGTCTCACAAAAAGGGCAGTCATGTTTGGTTTACAGATGGATCCAAGAAAGGATCTGATGTAGGGTGCGGCATCTATGGCCTTAAGCCTAGATTTGACATGAGTGTCAATCTGGGCAAGGAGGCCACCATCTTCCAAGCCGAGGTCTTCGCCATCAACAAATGTGCTGAAGTCATCCTGGAGAGGAAGCTTAGAAACCAAAATATCTACATCAACTCAGATAGCCAAGCAGCACTTCTGGCTATAGATTCTCTTGAGACCAACTCTAAGTTGGTCAAAGACTGTATGGATAATCTGAATGTCCTGGGCACATCCAACAGAGTTACCCTCAGATGGGTCCCGGGTCACTCAGGCATAGATGGGAATGAAAAGGCTGATGCATTGGCAAGAAGGGGCGCTGAAACCCCAGATTGTGGCCCAGAACCATTCTGTGGCATTGCAAAACAACATGCCTATTCAATTCTCAAAATTCACTGCAATCGCCAAGCACTTCAAGAGTGGCAATCCACTTCTGGACAAATACACTCTAAAGCGCTAATTAAGGGATATCGCAAAAAGTTTACAAAAGAGTTGCTTCAACTCAACAAGTATAAAACCAGTGCAGTAACCAGAATACTTACTGGTCACTGCAAACTCAATAAACATATGTTTACCCTCGGCCTCAGTCAGACCGCAATGTGCAGACTATGCCATGAGACAGAGGAAACTGCTATGCATTATTATCCTCTGCTCGTGCGGTCCACTCATGCACCGCAGAAGTATCTATCTAGGGCAGCATATTATGCAACCGGAAGAGATACAGATGCTCCCCGCTCAGAAAATCTGGAAGTTCCTGGAGTCAACAGGACTAAGCGGAGAACTTTGAACTCACTATAAAGGGAGCTACAATGGACCAAAACTGGTCGACGTAGCTAGGGCCGACCTCGGCACCACACCCAACATTAATAATAATAATAAGTCTGTGTCTCAAAGTGTAAATTAAAAAAACTTAGTTAATTGCTTCAAAAAACCTTAGTAATTAGAGTAGACTAGTTTAGAAGATTGTTGTTTAACTTTAGCCTTCTGTGACTTTTTTCCTTTAATTCCTTAAAATATTTTTCTTCATGCTTCCCCTATTTATTACATTTATTTATATTTTTAAAATGTTGTTTAGTAAGTTCACTTTTATCAAAAGTCTAGGAATTTATTTTTCATCATTAAAATACCCTTTAAAACTATTTTTTGTTGCCCCTTGTGGCAACAAATGATATTAAATTGCACTCAGCCAGTATAAGGTTCTATCATTTATTACAGATGAAGTTGACCAAAAGGTCAAGCCAAATTATTTCCAATTATTTATTTAAATTTAATATATTAATTATTAAATAAAAAATATATAAAGCTATTTATTTACTACTAGCAGTACCGGTGGCTTAGCCTGCTTTTTAACTTCCGATATAAACATTAGTTTTACAATAATGTATGGAAGTCTACCTGATTTGTTGACATTTATGATTATTGCTCTGCTCTCTTGGGTAGTAGCATGATGATATATAGCCTATAGCCTTTCTTAATAAATGGGCTATCTAATGCGAAAATATTTTTTCAAATCGAATTAGCAGTTCCTGAGATTAGTGCGCTCAAATAAACAAACCCTGCCTATAATAATAGTTGTATGAAAAACTGGTTTAAAGAGTTTAGCCATACTTCTATGGTGAAACTGCCCCCGATAGGAACCTATATCGTAACCAATGTTATATTGTAGGGGACACTAACAGTCCCCCACTAACAGTCCCCCCCAACGTGCGTTCACCTTGTCGTGGTGGGGGGGCTCAGTAGTAGTAGCGAAGCTAAGAAACGCACAGGGAGGTTGCCCACTTCGGTGGGCGGTGGGAGGTGGCCCTCTTCGGGGGGCGGTGTACCTTGCGGGTTGCTCCTGCTACTTCTCTGATAGCAGAGTGGACCTTGGAGTAACCCCATGGTTGTGGTGGTCTGCTTTGGCAGACCTGCCGTCGGGGCGTCGTAGTTGAATGCGTAAGCGATCCTGCGACGCCCCATTATGACGGGGGAAGGTTTTGTTGGGTTTTAGTGGGTAGTACTGGCGCATTACGCCGGTGAGTCCCACACGTCGTGCGTAAATGCATTTCCCAACGTTAAAAAAAAAAAAAGGGGACACTAACAGTAATTGATCCAGTAGATATTAGCTCCATATCTTGTTAATTGAGGAGCTATTTGAAAAAAAGTGTTTGGGGGCGACTTTTTTTCAAAGCGATATATCTTAGTTAATTTCATAGCTAGCAAAATAAAACTAAATGTGTTATGATACGCTTTAAAGTTTATAAAAACAAACATATCCCACGGTAGCCATACATTTTCCGGGATAAAAAGTAGCCGTATGTGTTATCCAGACTATAATCTATCGCTGTGCCAAATTTCATCCAGATCAGTCCAGCCGTTCTGGCGTGAAAGAGTAACAAACATCCATACTCACGACTTTCACATTTATAATATTAAATAATAATACGGATGCTATTGTTTGAAGATGTTGGTATTAAGTGATAAGTACATAACATTCTTCAATAGCTAATGTAACCATTACAACCTTCTTGGAAGGGAACTTTTAATACTGACGCCGCAGATATGGTAACGATTATTATGACTTATACGTAAGTAATGTGAATAAACATTAAATATAACGGTACACCGTGGGAATCCCCGCTCAGTAAGATGTAACTTAATTTTGATAAAATAATTTGTCAACCTTTTGGCTTTGTTAAGAATATGATTTTGTAAGCGCCTTCTACGAGTACCTATATAATGACGATAACAAGTACCTACTTATTGTTTAATATCATTTAGCAATTATTGTTTACGGCTGCATTGTGTATTAAAAATATTATTTTTAAATCACGTCAATATGTCATCGGAAAAACCCCAACTACGATCTCTTAAGATTTTCTAATAAACCCTAAGTTTTTGTAAGTTCGTTTGAAGCCCAAGTCAGTTTGTTCTAAAGGAATTAATTAATTAAACTTTACAAACATTCACTTAGTCTTAGGTCATAATTCAAAGAGAAAGTCATATTATTTATGTTACGTATTTTTTAAATTAAAGTTTGGATAACCTAAGTTAAATACTTTTTGGTATACTCGGATCTAAATAACGTGCATTATTTTGTCTGAGTTAAAACCTGAGTTCGAATAGTAGGTAGAAGAATACTAATTAATTAATAAGTGATTCTTTAAGAATAATAATAATAATTTAATAATAACAATTTAGACTTTTACTATTGAATTTTGCAAATGTTAGGTTTCTAGGAGAATCTTAAAGCTTACAATTTACAATTACACTTACATTACAATATTAAATTTAGCTATAGTTATCTGTAACATAAAATGTCGTACTTAAGAACAAGTTATTGAACTTTAAATTTTGTTGCTAAAATTATAAAAAAAAGGTTAAGGTTGGGCGGCAATACGTAAACAGGTTTATATTAACTCGAGAACCTTTGAGGACATGTGTTCGTTAAACATCGAAAAAAGGTTGTAATTATACCTTGATTTTCGTCAGGAAATTGT